CTTGGGGTGGTGGTAGAAAGAAAATCCTCATCACAGTTCTGAGGCAGGAAAGAGTGCTTGTGGTCACTCGTAGACCAGAGCACAGGAAAGGAGTAAACACCTCACCCTTGAGCATACCATCCAGGAAGAACTGGAAACTTACAGGTGCCTAGAAGTATCTCTGAAAACATCTGCACAAAACCCCTGAAGCTTGGGAGAGTACATTCTCCACACTGGAAGCAGGCCCTACCTTAACAAACAGTTCATAACTGAAGTAATTGGCTGGGATCATGAGCAAACTTCGCAAAAAAGTCAGACTGTGGAATCTTCCTTTGGTGACAAAGAAGATCGAAACACACAACCAGAAGAAGACAACAAAGTCAAAGCTCCTACATCCAAAGCCTCCAAGAAAAATATGAATTGGTCCCAGGCCTTGGAAGACCTCAGAAAGGATTTTGAGAAGCAAGTAAGAGCAGTAGAGGAAAAACTGAGAAGGGAAATGAGAGTGATGCAAGAAAATTATGAAAAACAAGTCAACAGCTTGCTAAAGGAGACCCAGAAAAATACTGAATTCCTTAAAAATACTGCTTCCTTAAAAAACAGCCTAACCCAAATAGCAAAAGAGGTCCAAAAAGCCAAGGAGAAGAATGCCCTAAAAATCAAAATTGGGCAAATGGAAAAGGAAGTCCAAAAGCTTACTTAAGAAAATACTTCCTTAAAAATTAGAATAGAGCAATTGGAAGCCAGTGACTACATGAGAAATCAACACTGTAAAACAAAATAAAAGAATAAAAAAATATAACCAAGGCTTAAGGAAGGAATAACATATACACTCAATTGGGTATGGAAATTTATCTTACCCTACAGGAAAATGGGGGGAAGGGGACAAGAGAGGAGGGGGATGATAGAGGGCAGGGCAGATTGGGGGAGGGGGTAATCAGAAGCAAACACTTCTAAGGAGGGACAGGGTCAAAAAGAGAGAGTAGAATAAATGGGGGAAGGATGGGATTAAGGGAAATATACTTAGTTTTTCACAACATGATAACTATAGAAGTGTTTTGCATGACTACACATATATAACCTCTATTGAGTTGCTTGTCTTCTCCATGATGGTGGGTGGGGAGAAAGGTAGAAAATTTGGAACTCAAAGCTGTGAAAAGAAATATTAAAAAAAGTTTTCACATGCAACTGGGAAACAGGATATATGGAAAATGGGGTATAGAAATCTATCCTATCCTACAGGAAAATTGAAGGGGAAGGGGAAAAGAGAAGGAGGGAGAGACAGAAGGGAGGGCAGATTGGGGAAAGGAGTACTAAGAATGCATGCCATCTTGGGGTAGGGGGAAGGACAAGATGGGGAGAAAATTTGGCACTTAATCTTGTGGAGGTGAATGTTGAAAACTAAAAATAAATTAAAAATAAAGAATATTCTATGAAGAGGTGGTAAATACTGTATATTCTTGGAAGAAAAATAACTTAACAGTGATCCCTGAAGAGAAAATAAAGAAATTAACAAGTAAACTTCCTAAAACTCTGTAATAAAGTCTGTTTTGGCTAGGCAATGGGGTTAAGTGCCCATGGTCACACAGCTAGTAATTGTCCTGTGTCTGAGGCTGGATTTGAACTCAGGTCCTCCTGACTCCAGGGCCAGTGCTCTATCCACTGCACCACCTGGCAGCCCCTTGTAATAAAGTCTTCATTAGAGAAAAGTATGAAAAAAATTGTAAAGAGAGATTACTCACAATATGGCCTCAACTGGGGGTATGAGACTATTTCAAACCACATGAGTTCTCTATTTTTATAATGAGGGTTTAAGAAGACACTGGCTATGATGTATCAGTCAAAATGTCTTCTTTGTGATTGCTTTCAATTTTTGATGGAATATATTCTTTCATTTTAATATTTAATTACATATATATATTTTTTCCTTACACAATTTGGTTTAAGTGACTAGCCCAGGATCACACAGCTAGGGTCACGTATTTGATCCCAGATTTGAACTCAGGTCCGCCTCACTCCAAGGCTGGAACTCTAACCACTGCGCCACTTAGCTGCCCCTTAATAATTATAGAGAAATAAGAGTAACTATGTGGGGAAAGGAGGGTTCCTTGCTTCCTTAAAAATGTAATATTTTATCAACTGGGGCTAGAGGTTGATATTGACAGTTTATAAAATTACATTATTTCAACATGCTACTAGAACTCTAGAGCACTGGGGATCAGGAGTCAAAAGGCAGACAGATGGATATCGCACAAGAGACTGAACACTTCTTCCAATCCTTTGATGCTTGGGAGAGCTCAGCTCATTTACCAATCTGCTACATGCAAAATGTATGTTTAGCAGAATGGTATAGTATGATTTGCAAGAAGTTGTATTATTTTGGAGCAATTCTTTCTCACACATAAAAATCTCTTCACATTTTAGTCCCTTAGATTTTATTTAAAACATCTGATTTGTCTTGTATCTGTAATGAATAATTTCACTTTTGGCTTCCTTTATTTCTCTATTGAACTTCTGTGCAATTAAGGAATTTATTACTATTTCCTGATTTTTTTTAGATTCCCAAGAATAAAGATATTTTCTTTTCACTTGGTGTTCTGAGTCATGACTCTTCTTTGCATTGTATTCATTCATAATGTGAACAACCATGATAGGAATGTCATGCTTTTCTTTGTTAATAATTCATCTGTTGCATCCCTCACTCGCTCTTAAGAGAAGCTCTTGCACTTCCCCTTCCCCCCACAGTCTCTCTTTCCCACTATGGGGTGAACTCATGTACTCCAAACCTCCACAGAAGGAGGTCAGCTCACACATGTCCACATTTGCCCCTGGCTGCACTACTTTGGAACTTCTCACTGACTCTGCCACCATGTCCCAGTGCCTTTTGCCCCAAATCTCTTCCTTTGCTGTGTTGTCTTGCCCTTGAAAATGAAAACTCCATCAGGAGAAATCTTTTCTGTTTGAATCCCCAGATGTTAACACAGTGCATGGTACATAGATGGTGCTTAATAAATGCTTACTGACTTGTGACCACCCAGACACTCTCATCTGAGGATCCTGCTTTTTGTTTTCTCCACCATGATTTCCAAATCACATACTTTTCAAATCTTTTTATTCCACAGCCTTCATTCTACTAATTATATCCAGTTGTCAGTTGTATGCAATTGTGTGCTTGTTGTCTCTCCCATTAGACTGTGAGCTCCCTGAGGGCAGACACTGCTGTTTCCCTTCTTTGCATGACCCCTACCCAGTACAGGGCCTGGAACATAGGAGGCATTTAATAAGTCCTGTCCTTTTTAGAACAGTGCCTTCTTTCCTCCATTCTCTAAGAAAGTGGGAGCCTTGTCTTTGCAAAGGCCAATGGAGACCACATTCTAATTTAGTTTAGGACAAACTCATTTCCATTTGCTGCCAGCACCTCAAAATAAAGGCCAACTCCTTTGGCTTAATCTACAACCAAAGTTTGATTGCTGGGCTTGCAGTTCCCAGGTAGGTCTGAGCCAGGAGGTGAGAGAGGTCAGATGGCCTACCTGTACTCTAACTGCAAAGAAGTGGTCCTTGTTCCCACCTTCATGACATGATTCCTGCTTCACTCAGCCCTTTAGAGGCCACCCAGAGGCCCTGCTCTCCTTACTGGGAACACATTTCAATTGGCACAATCCTTATTTCCCTAGTGCTGCATATTTAACATTAGATTAAAAAGTATTTAGGGTTAGAGTCACTTAGGGATGAATGCCTCTGACTCTAACCCTCCTACTCCACCTCTGACTTTAACCCTAATTGGCTGTGATTTAGGGCTCTCAGCCCCCTTCACTTTTCACAAGGACATTATGGATAATCTTATTCTGGGCAAACTCCAGCCCAGGCCTGAATGGATTTAAGCTGCTCGGGTTTGGGTAGAGACATTTTCTTCTGCCTAGATAGCCCAAGACTAGGGGTGGTCTAATTGAACAGCTCAGGATTAAGACACAATAAGTCACTAACTCAAGACCTCATTTTAACATACCCCACCTCCCACTGTGTTGACCAATCAGAGTTGATTGGCACCCTTTGGGAAGTTCTACTTTTACAAGGGCATAACCCTGTACCCCCAAATCCCAAATGGAGCCAGTTCTAAACTGTCCCCTTAGGGAGGCGAGTTTTGGACTAAACTCCCATGTAATTCATGTCAAGTCAGCTTGAGATAAATTAAAATATTGACACACGCACCCTAATTTCATTTTTGTTTCTTTCTTAGAGCAGACACTATTTCAAAATTGGGGTTCTGCAGGCTGAACAGGCCAAACAATGAAAGCACCTTACTAGGTGGGTTACTGGACAGAGTGCCTGGTCTGGAGTGAGGAAGACCTAAATTCAAATCCAACCTCAGACCCTACCTGGGTGACCCTGGGTAAGTCACTTAACCATATTTGCCTCACTTTCCTCATTTGTAAAATGAACCGGAGGAAAAGGCAAATCACTCTAGTACTTTTTTCCAAGAAAACCCCAAAATAGTTCCAAAGTGTCAGATTCAATTGAAAACCCCTAAAATGACCAAAAAAGAAAAAAAAGCCAAATACACAAACAAACAAACAAAAATCCCAGCATCTTCAATGTGCCAGGCACCATACTAAGGCCAACAAGGCTTTTTGGAACAATTTTTGAAAATGGGACAATGCTGGGGGAGGGGAACAGGGTATTTTACAGTTGTTCCTTTAGATATGGGGAAAGAGAATGACTAGGAGGCCAGAGAGGGTCCTAAGGGGAGGGCAGAGCACAGAGTAGTGGAGATTAAAAAGACACCAGAGGCATCTAATTAGCAAGGGAAAACCAGAGCAGGGGGGAAAGTTTGTGCTGCAGCAGTAGGCCTTCCCTTGGTAATTAGATTCCAAAGTTTTATCTCCAGTATGATTTTTTTTTGGATAATCCAGGAGTTTTAGAGTCTTCTGCATATTTATTGTTTTACAGCAGAATGCCCAATAGTCAGCTGTGCAAAACAGTATATATAGTGCTTAAGTACAAATGGGAGACATGATTTTTTAAAATAAATACTTAAACACAAATTTATGGTCCTACAAGAGAGCATTTAAACTAGATGGTCTAAGTTGATCTGCCTCCTTGGACCCACAGTAACTGTTATATCCCAAAAAACCAGTGGAATCAATATACTGAATCAACATCAGTTCCACTGTGTGAATAATGGATCACAATAAATGAGCCCCTTTTTCTAGGAGCATTTCCTGGCTCCCATCACATGATCTGGCCTGGATAAAAAGACAACAGGAATTTCTTGAAGGTCAATAGTCCAAAATGCCAAGTATGGCTAAGTATTCTACAAGATCTATATTCACTGGTTCCTTTAGTTAGGGTGTACTTAGATTACTTTCTTGAATTCATCACACAGGACAAGCCAGAAAGCTCCACCCATGCCTCTAAGAACATTGGGCCATGCACCCTTGAAGAAAGCTTTGCCACCCTCAGCTTTAGCAATCTTTCTCCAGCAGTCAACTGTTCCAGTGTACATGATATCAGCTCCTTTGCATCCAGACGGCATCATCATTCGCAGCCTTACTGTATCAAAGGGATAGGAGACCACATCTGCTACAGCAGTCACTGTTTGAGCAATCATCCAACTTATCACAATGTGAGTATTCTTGGGATCTGGGAGCATACCTTTTGCTGGGTCATAGATTCCGAAGTAAGCTGCTCTATAGATAATGATACCCTGCACTGAGACATTGAAACCTTGATACAAGCCACGAATTCCATCAGACTTGGTGTCACAAGACAGTCTCCCAGACCTTTGAATTCTCTCTCAGTGCCAGATTTCCCAACATCAGCTGCCAAGCCGGTTCTAGCAAAATCCAAGGGGTAGACAAAGCAGAGGGAAGTGGCTCCAGCTGCACCACCAGAGGCAAGATTGCCAGCAAAATGCCTCCAAAACTGTGTGTGCTTGTCCACTCCTCCCCAAAACACCTGCTTATACTTATCCTTAAAGGCAAAGTTAAGGGCCTGGGTGGGGAAATATCTGATGACCTTTACTAAGTTACCCCACCAGAAGGAAAGGACCCCTTGTTCCTTTGGAATTCGGACTCTACAATCCACTATGCCTTTGTACTGCTTATCTACAGCAATTTGTTTACTTGCATGTTGCACCTGCAATAGTAGCTTCACTCTACTAAGATTGTTAAACTGAACGCTTCTCAGCATTAGGAGGATGTAAGACATCTCCAGAGGCCTTGGGATGGAAAATGCTGTCCACATCCAAAGAAAGAACTATGGAAGTCAAATCGCTATCACTTACTTTTACCTTCTGTTGAGCTTTGTTTCATCTTTCTGATGGTTCCTCCTATTGGTTTTAATTTTTACTTGCAACTTCACTAATGTGAACATATGTTTAATGGGCATGTAAATGTAAAGCCTATATCACATTGTGTGCCATCTTGGAGGGGGTGGGGAGAAAGGGGGAGAAAAATTTTCAACTCAAAAGCATATGGAAGTGATTGTTGATAAATCAAAATAAGTTAAAAAAAATAGTAGCTTCACTCTCTCGATGGGGGCCACTGCAGTCTTGGAGATGGCAGTGGTGATGCCACCGGCCAGGAAGTCCTTGGAGAAGGAGGTCATGTTTACGGGAGGGAGAAGGTGTTAGAGTTGGAGAAGGAAAGCCGGAGAGAGAGGGCCGAAAGCTGGGGAACTTGCTGCTGCCTGCCGAGCCACTTGCTACAGCTCTGACCGAAAGGCCAGTATGATTTTTCCAAAGCAGTCAAGTAGGACTCTCTGATGTTTAGCAAAATCTGAGGTCACTGTGAAATTATTCTACGTTTATAACATTACTAAGATTTCTCCTCAGTATCAACTTTTTGATGTTTAACAATGCTGGAGCCCTGTCTGAAAGCCTTTCTGCATTAATTACATTCCTAGGGTTTCTTCCCAATGTGAATTCTCTCATGTGCAACAAGATGTGAGCTCTGTGTGAAAGCCTTTCCACACTGATTACATTCAAAAAGTTTCTCTCCAGTGTGGATTCTCTGATGTGCAGCAAGATTGTACTTCATTGTGAAAGCCTTTCCACACTGATTACATTCATAAGGCTTCTCTCCAGAGTGGCTTCTCTGATGTGCAGCAAGACTGGAGCTCTGTGTGAAAGCCTTTCCACTGTGATTACATTCATAAGGTTTTTTTCCAGTGTGGATTCTCTGATGTATATCAAGACTCCATCTCCATTTGAAAGTCTTTCCACAATAATTACATGGAAAAGGTTTCTCTGCACTGTGGATTTTCAGATGGGTAGCAAGACTCTGCCTCATTCTGAAAACCTTTCCACATTGACCACATTCAAAAGGCTTCTCTCCAGTGTGGATTCTCTGATGTTCAGCAATATACCTCTTAACTGTGAAAGACTTTCCACACTGATTACATTCATAAGGTTTCTCTCCAGTGTGGATTCTCTGATGTACAGTAAGATTACCCCTCTGTGCAAAAGCCTTTCCACAATGATTACATTCAAAAGGCTTCTCTCCAGTGTGGATTCTCTGATGTGCAGCAAGATGGGACCTCTGTCTGAAAGTTTTTCCACATTCATTACATTCAAAAGGCCTCTTTCCAGAGTGGCTTCTCTGATGGGCAGCACAACTTTGCTTGCCTGTGAAAGCCTTTCCACACTGATTACATTCATAACGTTTCTCTCCAGTGTGGATTCTCTCAAGGCCAAGAAGGAGTGATTTGAAGTAGACAGGTATCCCACATTTAGTACATTTATAAAACCTCTCCCCAGTATGAATCTTCTCAGATGTATCAAGATCTGAATTCCAACCAAAGGCCTTCCCACACTGAGGACATGCATATCTTTTTTTCATCCCAGGGTGAAATCTAGGCTGGCAAAGGAGAGATGAGTGTTCAGATGAGGTTGCTTCCCATTCATTGTATTCATCAGGCTCCTTTCTGATGGGAATTTGCTGATGAGTAGTGAGCTTAGAGTTCTGATTCAAGGACTTTCTACCTTTGTTACTTGCAGAAAGCATTTCTCCAGTATCACTTTTCTCATGGCTGAGGAGGTCTGAAGTCCAGCTCAAGGCCATTTCCCATTGGTTACCTGGATACCCTGGCATTTCAGGAGCCTTCTCTTGGGAATGAAAAAGCTCTAGCCCTTCAGTAAAGCACTTGGTATATTCACCATCCTGAACACAGTCATTGCCTGAGCTCATTTTCTTACAATGATTTGGGATCGAAGACTGTCTGAATTTCTTTCCAATTTCATCAAATTCCCAGTCACTCTTTGGACTTTTATCTAACTTGATATTGGAGTCATGAATTTCTCTCCAACTGAAGCCACAGGGACCATCACTCATGAATCTGTGCAGGTCACGTTCTTCCACAAAAATTCCAAGATTTCTAGGCACCTGATTTACTTCGAATCTGGTCTCTACAGCTGAAGAAAACAAATAATCAAACACATATACACCAAAAGATATACACACAAAAGCTTATGCAACAGCACCAGTTACTTGAGAGTTATGTGGCTCATGACCTTCTTATCACCTAAATGCAACAAATGTACTCTTGGAGCAAACACTGGCATTCAACAGACTGTGCCATTGTAAGGAGAGGAGACAGACAGGCCGTGCGTGAGAAAGGGGGTACACACCACAGAGTGCTGGACCCATCACAGACTTATTCACTCCAAGCTCAACATTCACATTCAACAAGAACAGCAGCCATAAGGCAAGATGGTGGCCAGACTTTATGTCACCAGCCTAGAGTGATTCCCCCGGGGACAGCAGATAGTGGATAACTTGGAGAGAAAGCTGAGCCAACACAGGGGTTGCAGCATTCCAGCAGAGAAGGGAGGAGCTTTCAGGGATTTGTTGTGCAGGACCACATCTACTCATCTGGAATAGAACACTTGTAAACATCCAAACTGGTTTGAGGAAAACGATGGGGAAATTCACAACCTCATAAATAGATAATCAAAACTCTACAGATCATACCAGTAGGGAGTTCACCCATACCTAGGAAGATATTTTAACTTTAACTCCATGAGAAGTGAAGTACCAGCAAAGCTTAGAGAGATGCAGGATTGTTGGCTCAGTAAGAAGGCAGGTGACATTCAGTTTTACGCTGATAGTAACAATGCAAAGAACTTGTATGTGGCCCTGAAGGCTATTTATGGGCCAAAGACCCATGGTGCCCATCAACTACTCAGTGCTGATGGAGCCACAACAATTATTGAAAATTATATGATGGAGAGATGGGCTGAACACTTTCATAGTATTCACCACTGAACATCCTCTAGCACTGCGGAAGCCACTGACCATTTACCTCAGGTTGTACTCAGTCTCTCTCTGTCCATCCCCCAATTGAGGGGCATCCCTGAAATTTCAAGCCACCAAAAAGAGAGCACCTAGGAATATTTAAAAACATTAAGTTCATTTCCTTTTCCCCTAGTCATCTTGGAAAATAGACTGAGTAGTCTTATTGGTGGGTCATAATTTGGGCATCATTCAGATTGCTCTCTAAAATGGCTGGCTTAGTTCACAATTCAACCAACAATGAATTAGTGTCTGAATATTTCCACATCCCCTCCAACATTTGTCATTTCCCCTTTCAATCACTTTAGACATTCTGTTGAGTATAAAATAATATTCCAAGGTGACTTGAATTTGAAGTTCTCTATTTGGATTTCATGACTGGAAAACTAGGTGACTAATCATGAAAACCTTCTTAATGTAATCAAAATTATTTGACACCTCACTCTGCTCTCTCTCTCTTGCATTCATAAATTGATTTCCCATCAGTAAGTATAAAAATTATGTTCTGTGTTGTTCTGTTCTCTTGTAGTATCTCTCTTTAGGTCTAGGTCATATATCCATTTCGACCTGACCTTGATAAAAGGTCTAAGGTATTGGGCTATCTCCAATTCCTGCCATACTTCTTTCTAGTTTTCCCATCAATTTTTTTTTACCAAATAATGAATTCATACCCCAAAATCTTAAGAACTTCCATTTCTCAAAAACAAAGTTTCTATCTATATTTGCTACTGTAAATTGCATGTCTTGTTTGTTCCATTGTTCTATCTTTTTATTTCTTAGCCAGTACAGCATAGTTTTGAAAGTTAGAGCCTTAAAATCTGCTTCTGCTCAACCTCTTTCCCTTTCATTGTTTCTTATTAGTTCCTTTCATATTCTTGACCTTTTGTTCTTTCAGATGAATGATATTAATTTTTACTAATTCTGCAAAATAAGTTTTTAGTCATTTAACTGGGTTGGCCTTTATAATATTAATTTGTTTGGGTGAGATTGTCTTTCTTATTCTGTTGGCCCCACCTATGCAAGATCTGTGATATCACTCCAATTGTTTAAATCTGATTTCATTTCTATAAAATATTTTTTGTATTTATGTTCATGTAGTCCCTGGGTTTGTTTTCCCAAGTGGATTCCCAGGAATTTCATACTGTCTAGAGTTATTTTAAATGGGGTGTCTCTTACTATCTTTTCCTGCTTGGTTTTGTTGGTGATATATAGCAATGCTGATGATTTATGTGGGTTTAAATTATACCCTGCTACTTTGCTAAAATTATTAACTGCTTTCACAAACTACCTGATTAAGTCTTTGGGATTTTCTAAGTATATAATCCTATCATCTACAAAAAAAAGTTAGTTTTATTACCTCATTCCCTATTCTGATTACTTCTATTTCTTTTCTTATTGTTATTGTTAGTATTCCAATACAATACTGACTAATCTAGGTGACAATGGGCATCCTTGTTTTACACCTGATCTTCTGGGAAGGCTTCCAGCTTACTGCATTACAAATAATGCTTGCTGACCTGTTCAGGTCAATCCTTTCTTTTTTTGTCAACTTAAGGAAAAATCTATAACTACTTATACTTTCAAGGGTTTTTAATCGAAATGAGTGTTGTTTGGTAAAATTCCCTTTCAAATCCAGCTGCTCCACATGCTTTTTGTCTCAGGAAGATTATTTATGGCCTGTTCAATTTCTTTTTCTAAAATATATTTACTTCGATATTCCACTTCTTCTTCTGTTAATCCTATAAGACTGTTCCAACATGACTAGCCCTCCACTCCCACCTTATTCCAAGAGGATTCACTTATATGTGAGAACTGCACTATTTTACCTCTTGCTACTTAATTTGTTTTACCTGTTAAAAAAACCTTTTAACATGCAGCATAACCTTCTTTTATGTTAACTCCTGGGTTTTCTTTCTTTTTTTAAATATTTTGGCAATCAT